GGGGTCCGGGTTAGTGATTTAGGAGTTTGGACGCACGTCAGCTATGATTAGGCTTCGGTCACGTGACAGGAGGTTGCCGGCCCAATCAGAGAGAGCGGCGATGCATATAAAGCAGGAGCGAAGGGCGAGCGGGGTACCTGCGGGGAGGATCGGGCCCCCAGCCGCTCCGCTCCGGAGGTGAGTACCGCCGGGGCTGCGCACTGCGAGGCACGGCTCTCTGCCCGGAGGATGGAGAGGGGTGGGGGGCACTTCCACTTCCCCCAGGGGACCCCCGAGGGATGGAAAGCCAGGGGTACCCTGCTGCAGGGTGTCCCCCCTCTCTGGCTCCCCAAATCTCCAGTAGCATCCTTCCCGCAGCTGTTGGAAGGTGATTTCTGGGGGGTCCTGCAGGTAATCCTTGTCCCATAGCCCCTCTTGCCCTGGGGTGGCTGTGATCCACAGCTGTGGGCTGGGACAGGGTCCCAGCCAGGCTGCACCCACTGGGATGCAGGGGTGCCAGCATTCCCCCAGGCTCTTCGCCCTGTGGAACCTGGGTGTCCTGCGGTGGGGTGTAGCACCTTGCCAAAACCAAGGGGAGGTGGGATTTCAGACCCAGACTCTTCCTACACCTGGCTTGGGTTTTTCTTAGGGATTTCTGACAGAGCTGAGAGCATGGTGCCCACAGCCTGCTGGCCCCATGCTACAGCCACAATTAGCTTTCATGGCCATTGATCTTTAGGAAGATTCATGGCAATGCTGTATTTAGTTTGCCTGTGAGCAGTGGCTCAGCATGAGCCACCAGATGACTCAAATCAGGAGGATTCAGCTCTCCTATAGTCAAGTGCTCTGGAAAAGACTTTGCAGTATGAAAGAGAGGTCCTGTAGTTAAGAGAGCATGTTTCCTACCCTGGCATACAGAATAAAGCCATGGAACCTGTTTCTTTCACTCTTGCCTAGCAAAAAGAAATTGCTTTCACTTAAAAGCAGTTTCCTAAAGTGCAGAAAACCAATGCAGCTCTGGATCAGAAGTTAAGCCCAGCTTTCCTGCCAGCAGTCCTGTGCAGTTGCTACTAAGAGCATCTCAAACTACAGGTGCTCTGTGGAACTTCCATCCTTCATAATGTCTCTTTAGTTTATTACTAAGGTTTCTGCGTGCCGGCAGCAATGAAGGCTGAGATGTCGCTGGTGGGAAGCCAAGGCATTGTCTCGGCCACCGAGGTCCTCATCGCAGCTACCATCTTCTGCCTGGTCTTCCTGCTCATCCAGTCCCTCCGGCAGCACGTGCCCAAGGGGCTGAAGAGCCCCCCAGGACCCAGAGGCTACCCCATCCTCGGCAACGTGCTGGAGCTGAGGAAGGACACACACCTGGCCCTGACCAGGCTGAGCCAGAAGTATGGGGATGTGATGGAGGTCAGGATCGGCACCCGGCCCGTCCTGGTGTTGAGTGGGTTGGACACCATCAGGCAAGCATTGGTGAAGCAAGGAGAAGACTTCATGGGACGCCCTGACCTCCATAGCTTCCAATATATTTCCAATGGCCAGAGCCTGGCCTTTAGCCCTGACTCAGGGGAGGTGTGGAAAGCCCGCAGAAAGCTGGCCCAGAATGCCCTGAAGACCTTCTCCATTTCCCCCAGCCCCACCTCCTCCTCCACCTGTCTCCTGGAGGAGCATGTCTCCAAGGAGGCTGACTACCTGGTCACCAAGTTCCTGCAGCTGATGGATGAGGAGAAGAGCTTTGACCTTAACCAGTACCTGGTGGTTTCTGTGGCCAATGTCATCTGGGCCACTTTCTTTGCCAAGCGTTATGACCACAATGACCAAGAGCTGCTCAGCTTGGTGAACCTCAACAATGAATTTGGGGATGTGGCTGCTTCTGGCAACCCCGCTGACTTCATCCCCGTGCTCCAGTATCTTCCCAGCCGCACCATGCAGCTCTTTAAGGACATCAACAGGCGTTTCAGCTTCTTTGTGCAAAAAATTGTCCGGGAGCATTACACCAGCTTTGATAAGGTAAGAGGTTGGATGTGGGTGCCTATAATTGGTTGCCTGCCTGGCAATGGGGGGAAGAAGATACTCCCTTGTCCCCCCGCCTCTCCCCAGAAAAGCTCCTTGGAGCTTTGAAATCTGCAGTTAATCACCCCAGGAGCCAGCAATGGCTGGGGGATGGATGTTTTCCCAGCCCTGGGTGTCCATGATGTCCCTGACCCACCAGCTCTTCTCCAGGAGCACATCCGGGACATCACAGACTCGCTGATTGAACACTGCCAGGAGAAGAGCACAGGGGAGGACGCCCGTGTCCCGCTCTCCAATGAGAAGATCATCAGCATCGTCAACGACCTCTTTGGGGCAGGCAAGAACATTTCTGAGGGTAAAGCCTCTCTGCTGGGAGGCTGGGTGAGGGAAGGGGGGTTGTCAGGGTGAGACCCTGGCTGTGCTTGGGTGTTTGGAGCTGCTGCTGGGTGCTTTCCTGAGTGGTGACCAGAGCAGATGTCTTTTTCAGTGACAGGAATTGTCATGTGGCAAACATTTAGAGTGATGGGGTCTGTAAATACCTGTTCACTTGTAACTAAATTTGGTAACTAAATGCCTTTTTCATGTCCATCCAGGCTTTGACACTGTGGCAACTGCCTTATCCTGGAGCCTCATGTATGTTGCCTTGTACCCCGACATCCAGAAGAAGATCCAGGAAGAACTAGGTAAGTCCATGAACCTGCTTCCTCTGGGGCCAAAACCTCTCTGGCAAGGGCTGACCCCAGCCCACTCCCTCCTCTCAACCTCCCACAGACCAGACTGTTGGCGGGGAGAGGAGACCGAGGCTGTCGGACCGAGGCATGCTGCCCTACACAGAAGCCTTTATCCTGGAGATGTTCAGGCACTCCTCCTTCCTGCCCTTCACCATCCCGCACAGGTACAGGCTGGAGCAGCTGGCATGTTATTTGGGGTTTTCTTGGAATGATTTTTCTGGGAGGTGCCATTTAGGCAGATAATTGCCTGGGAATTGATCCCTGCTATGGGGAAATATTCTGGTGCACAGCTTGAATTACTCATGTTAAAGCTCCCTGTGGGTTTCGTACTGCCGATAGTGCAGCTGCCACATTGTGCTGGTGCCTGTGGCTGCATCTGCTGCCCTCAGGGCTGGCAGCTGCCCGGCTTGCTGCCCTCTTGGGGTCAAATCCTTTGCTCTGAGGGCAGTTTTGCTCCAGAGCCTTTGATAGTGGAGGGATGGTGGGTGATGGCTAACACCCCTGGGTTTATATTTCCCCCTGCCTTGGGAGAAACCACATCACAACTCATCCAGGTTCCTGAACCTGGAATCTTTCTGCTTGAGGAAAAGTGTTAACTAAGACTATTTAGTCTCCCAAATACAAATTGGGGTATTTCCTAGCCAGTCCTAAGAGTACTAATAGGATATTGAAAATGAAACACCCCTAGCAGCTGCCAAGCTTTGTTTTGCCACGAAGTTGCAGGTCCCCTCTGAACTTCTCTTCCCCTCCATCCATATTCCTTTCAGTACGACAAAAGCGACAGTGTTGAACGGCTATTACATCCCCAAGGATACCTGCGTGTTTATCAACCAGTGGCAAGTGAATCACGATGAGTGAGTATACCAAATCCCCTGTGCTTATCGAGGCTGTGATGGGTTTGTTTGGCATTAAGATCACTCTGAGCCTTTAGAGCAACACGCCAAAAGCCAAATGGGTCATGAAGGCAGGAAAAGGCAGATCAGATCAAAAATTGGGTGGCCAGCCTCAGGTCTTCTGGGCATGGAGCTGCTCTGGTTGGTCACTGGTTCAGCAACTCCTCAACAGTGGGGCTTACCCAATTTATGTGCAGTAATGTGGTGATGTCCTCAATGCACCGGACTTTCCATGTACGTGCGAGGGTTGGCAGCTTGGGCTGCTGAATAATCAGGAATCGGTACATCCTCCTGCCAAGCAGCCCTTGTGATCCGGGTTGACGGCTCTGGATGTGCTCAACGGGAACCGCCTGGTTCCCTCTTTCAGGGAGAAAAATGTCCTGATGTGACTCTCGTTAAACTCAATAGGCTTATGTTGTTATTGCTGATAATCAGCTTTGGTGAATGAAAGGGGATCTGGAAACTAAAGCCCCATCTTGCCGCTCCACTGCTCTCCAGTAGAGACCCTCCTGGGTGGGAGTAAGTTGACTAAAAATTGACACAGAAAGTGGTTCCCAGATCAGGTATTTTGAATCAGAAGCTCAAGACCTTTGTACTCAAATAGCCCAATGGTACAGAAATATTACAATATTTCCTCTGCTCCTGCATACACTGGTGAGCATTGCAATGGGAACACTGTCCTTAGGGCCAGAGAGGATTCCCCATACCCAAGCAGAAATTCTCAGCTAAGGCACTGGAAAACCCCACCTGGTACCTCCCAGCAGCCAGGATGGGACAGGTTGGGAAGTTTTCCTAGGAGGATTCAAGGTGGGAAAAACCCTCAGGTCTCCATCCTTACTTTTTAAGAGGTGCTGACTGATTTCTGTGCACAGATTTTCTCCTTTCAGCTGACACTGCAGGACCTCTAGATATCGCATGCTGAATTAAAGCCATCCCCAGTATCTGCACAGGCAAACACAGTCTGAGAGTGAATAGAGGTTTCAATAGATGGAGCTGATGGGGTCTGACATGCAGTTGGCATTTTAGTTTGGGGATAGAGGTTGCCGAAGTTTTTGGATGGTGAAATGAGAAAGTATTGCAATACTTCTCTCTGAGATGTTTTTTGACTGTTTTCACCATCATGGAGGGTGAAAACAGCTTCCTCAGGTGTGTCTCCTTTCTGCTCCAGGAAGCTTTGGAAGGACCCCTCAACCTTCAACCCTGAGAGGTTCCTCAATGCCACAGGGACTGAAATAAGCAGGACAGAGAGCGACAAAGTGATGGCTTTTGGTTTGGGGAAGAGGCGATGCATTGGGGAGTCCATTGGCCGGTGGGAGGTCTTCCTCTTCTTGGCCACGATGCTGCAGCAGCTGGAGTTCAGCCTCCGCCCTGGGGAGGAAGTGGACATCACTCCTCAGTATGGACTGACAATGAAATACAAGAAATGCGAGTGCTTCCAGATTAAGAAGCGTTTCCCCATGAAGAGCTCTCCATAAGCTGTGGGAGGAAGCATCGCTTTGCAGAAGCAAGCCAGCCCTTGGAGTCAGACACTCAGCCTGCTTTTGCTAATCTTCTCTAGAAGCCAACACAGTCTGTCACTGTGTTGCTTCACTGGAGGCTTGTTCATCTCATGTAAATGTGAGTGGGGAGGGATAAAGCCATCTTTGTTGGGCTCCTTGCAGCCCCTCTAGCCAGCTCCATTGCCCTTGCCTGCAGAAAAGCTCACCAGAGGTCCAGCCCGCTCATCCCTCTTGGGAAGGTCTAGGGTGACCGCAGCTCTGCGGTGGGAGGAGGATACTTTGGGCTAGGAGAAGCAGCGTGGGATGTTGTAGGGGTGTCCTCACCTTGCCCGGTGCTGCAGACAGAGCCAGAGCTGCTGTGGGCAACTCCCTTCATCACCAAATAGGAATAAACCTGCAGGTTCCTCCCCAAGAAACCTGGCCAGCCTTTTCGCACTGGGTGAAAGTCTTTCAAGCTCATTTGACAGAGCTGTTTGCAAAGCCTTCAGCTCCTTGTGCTGATGGGAACAGGCTCTCCCTGCTGCTCCAGCCGCCTGCTGAAGGGCTCTCGAGGTGATGCAGAGGCCAGACCCACCCCTGTGCCAGCACCCATCTTGAGTGGACCTGTTCTGGGTGCATCCTTGCACAGCTAAATTCCCTGAATGTAAAGTCATTACACGAATCCCCGAGTGTTTCTACCAATCCTTGGTGACAGCCTACTAGAAAAATAAAATATCCACAAGCAGTGCTGTTCACAAATTGAGATATTAGCTAAACTCCTAACAAGAAGCCTCCTGGAAAATATCAAAGGACTGAGAATAAGGGACAAGAAGCAGTAAGAGGCACAGTAGAACACTTCTGGCTTTCAGACTATGTGTTTGCTGCTTTTTTTGAAATTAGGTGGGTTTTTTAGCAAGTAATAGATTTCTCTATTCAAACTAGTAAAAGGAGCAAGGGTTTGAGAACTGTAGGAGATGCACTACCTTATGCTGCAGTCCACTTTAAGCCAGCATGAAGGCAAATTCTCTTGGTAAACAGAGCAGGAATTCCTGCTTGTTTGTACCTGTGTGAAATGCATCCATGTGCTGGGTTATAAATTGCACAGTTTTTCTAAGCCAATAAATACTTATATGAAAGTTTCTTAGGTTTCTTGCTTGGTTCTTGCTGATTTTATTCCACTGGGAAAAGATTGGCAGGGGGAACCCTACACCTCTGTTTCATCCTTGAAAATCTGACTTGGGTATGTTGCATCTGGACTTTTCCTATGGGGACATGAGCTCATTGTTCCTCTACTGTTGGGGTTGTGACACCAGTGGTGGTAGGAAAAGTTTTTAATCCTTGTGGGTGCTGGCTCTGGTCCTCTCCCTATGTATGTAGAGAAGCTAAAGCTTCAGCTGGGATTGGTGGAGAGGTGATGCCGAGCTCTGGCTCAGTTCAGGATTTCACTAAAAATCAGGACTAGCCCTTCTATTCCTGAAAATAATGAATCAATAGCTTGAAAACAGCCTTTCACAACCCTCAGGGAGGTGATCCACAGAGGGATGCTTTGGGCCATCACCTGCTCTGCACTTCCCCATCTCAGAGCATGATTATTTCCAAGACTTTGCATAACTTCCCTTAAAAAAAAGGCAAATATATGGAAAATTGGGGTCTGTGCATACCTGAAGTGGCATCCCTGCAGGGACCAGCCATCTGGGGTTTCCAGCTTGGTGGGGTAGGAAACTGCTCTTGCTCCACAAGCACATTTTCATGACTCACAAATGTTTAGCCAAGCCCTCGAATGGGGGTACAATATCAGGAGTCTTGCAACGTTCAGTCTTCTGCTGAAAAGTGTGCTCCTCACCAAATTCCTGCCCTGGGATGCTCTGTGGCATGAGCTACTCTTGCCCCACACAGGAGTAAAATCAAAATAGCTGCAGAAAGGTTAATATGTGACTCCACCCATCACTGGGGCATAAAGGACAGATGAATAATTCAGTGGCTTTTTTAATGGTGCCACCCACTGTACCACAGGGTTATTTTTAATTTTGTGGCTGTACCGTGGAAAGGCTGCTTTCAAGAAGAGGAGCTTTCCTCCTGCCATGACCTCACTCACCTTCATGTTATTGTCACCAACTGCTATCAAAATGATTTTGTTTTTAATTAGTGTCCCTGGCACAGCCTGCCTTTAGCTTGGGAAGGTCAGCCAGTGCACGGATCCAGCACCGCACCCACTCCTTCCTCTGAGTAATGAGCAAAAGAACCTCTGGCTTTGGAGGGGGGAAAAGCTTATTTTAATGGAGCCGAGGAGAAAGCAGGAGATGAATGCATCCGCGCCTCTGCCAATGAGTTGGAGGGAGGTGATGGGGGTAATGGAGGTGTGACAGAGGTGATGGAGATGTGATGGAGGTGATGGTGTGATGGAGGTGTGATGGAGGTCAGAGAGCGGATAGATGCTGGTGTGACAGCAGTGATGGAAGTGTGATGGAGGTGATGAGGGTGGGATGGAGGTGATGAATTTGTGACGGAAGATATGTGACAGAGGTGATGGAGAGGTGACAGAGGTCACAGAGGCAACGGAGGTGTGATGGAGGTGGTGGAGACGTGATGGACGCCATGGAGGAGAAGGAGGATGTGTGTGACAGTGGTGACAGAAAGGAGATGGAAACGATGGTGTTGTGGCGGACATGTAACAGCTTTCACAAAAGCAATGGAGGTGCGACGGAGATGACGGGTTTGTGATGGCAGTTGGGTGACAGCGGCCATGGAGGTGTGACAGAGGTCACAGAGGTGACGGAGGTGTGACAGACGCCGCGGAGGACACGAGAC